GGTGGCGCAAAAAAAAGTACAACTGGTTGATTACTTGTAACTCAGAAACAATAAGCAGTAGAACCATAAATCGAGTTTAATTGCATCCAGCGATATCTAACTTAAATTTTGGTATATTTGACAGGCATATTCGTCCAAGATTAACTGAGATATAAGAGTTTAAACTTTTGTTAACAATTTTGAAACGGTCACAAATTAGCTAAAAATCAGTTTAATAGGCCGTCTTTAGCTAATTTGTGACCGTTTCAAATTTGCTAACAAAAGTTTAAACACTCATATCTCAGTCAATCTTGGACGAAAATGCCTGTCGAATATACCAAAAGTTAAGTTAGACATCGCTGGATGCAATGAAACTCGATTTTGGGTTCTACTGCTTATGGTCTTTGAGCTATATGTAATCAAACAGTTATACTTTTTTTTGCGCCACCCGGTATATATATATAGCTTAAGATTTTGGTTTACGAAACACAGAAATAAAATGAATAACGTAGACAAGAGTGCACAACCGATTACCGGGTGCATATTCACCACCTGATGATTCCTATATACGGATGAAACAGACTGTTGTGGTTTTTTGAGGTAAAGCAAAAAACTATATATATATATATATATATATATATATATATATATATATATATATATATATATATATATATATATATATATATATATATATATATATATACGGTTGGCCGGAATTTTTCCGGCTCCCGCAAATTGATACTTTTTGCATACATTTATGTTGTAATTTGTAGAATATTTCATCCAAAAACCTGTACATCCACAAGTGTTTCCACCTGGCAAAGTTTTTATGTGTGCATAGAAGTCACAAGAGTAAGAAGATTCCACAATGTTGTTAAGCGTCGACGAGCTTCGAAACGGCGACCGTTAATAATCGCTTTGAAACTGATTCTTGGATTGCGCTGTATACGGTGTTTTTCATCAAATTACGAAACTAACCCGGGACCCAAGACGACGCGCATCGTAGTGTAAAAGGTCTCGTTTTAAATGCAAGAATTTTGACAAGTTCAGTTAAAATGGATAACAACATAAAGGAAAGTAACCTTGAACGTTTTCAGAACCTGGTTTACTCCGACGATCTTGATATAGTCTGTGTTAATGAGACTTGGCTTTTAGGATATGTTTACAGCGCTGAAATTCTACATTTGGGTTATTGTATTGTCAGAAAAGATCGTAAGACGCGGGGAGGTGATGTCTTGCTGGGAATTAAGACTGCTGTGTTTAAATCTGTGCATGCGCGTAATCGAACATAACCACGATCTAGAGATTGCTATGGCTGAAATAACAACTGCGAAAGACATGAAATTGCTTTTTGTTCGTGTTATCGTCCACCAGACCACAGAATAAGAAGGTACAGCAGAAGTGTAACTCAAGCAAGTATTTGTCCGCGTTTTTACAAGCGATTCGTCATCAATCACGCCACCTGGCTAGTACAACCGGCACTTTGTACCTACTTATTCTTGTGACCAGACGCTGATAAAACTTGGATTGATAAATTTGAAACTTTTCTCCAAGATGTTTGCACACGTCATTCAAAAATTGTAATCGCTGGCGATTTCAATTTTCCGCGCGCGAGCTGGAACTCGCGTGAAAATGCTATTGACGTTAATGAGAACTCATTTATCAAATTATTAAATAACTTTTTCTTGGAACAACTAAACACAACTCCCCACCAGAGGCGAAAACATTCTCGATCTTGTTATCACCAGTGTTCCTGACCGAGTCAAGATATGCGAATTTTTAAAACCAAGTGATTCAGACATTCCAACCGACCACAACGCCATTATTTTCGACCTCTTCCTCTCATGCAATCCTTTCCCAAAGATAAAACGTTCAGTGTTTGATTACCGACGCGCTGACATTGATGGTGTACGAAGGCATCTTCAATCCCTCGACCTCAGTCAACTTATATCAGAGAACGGCAATATCAACCAGGATTGCTCGCGTGGAAAAATGCGTTTTTGGGCACGGTATCGAAATTTGTGCCGACAAAAACACTACGAGGTCGAAACCATCTCCCTTGGATGAACAGTACAATACTTCACCACATCAAGAAGGAAAACTCCATAAGAACGCGAATTAAAAGATCCTGTCATACAAGTGAGCACCTCAAGCACAGATTTCGAGAGCTCCGCAGGAAAATTCAAAGAATGTTGCGTGAAAGTCGCTTGGACTATATCAATTCAATCTGTGCATCTCGTGAACCCAATCCTAAACGTTTCTGGTCGTTTTTCATGATTAAGTCTAAAGTATCTAATATTCCGTTAAAAGTCTCGGTTAAATCTAGTGAAAATCAAAGAACGTATTCCAACAACAACGTAGACATTGCGAATACTTTTAACGAATATTTCGCCTCAATTTTTAGGCATGACAACAATAGTGACCACAATATAGGAGAACACTCGGATCCAGAAATTGTTTTGGAAGACATAACACTGACTAACGACCTTAAACGACGAAGTAATAACCGTATTAACTAATCTAAATAACAATAAAGCTCATGTCCAGACGGAATCGCAGCACGTTTGTTGACGGAAACATCATCCCAAATCGCTCCTTCACTCTGCGCTCTCTTGGAAATTAGCGAATGTCGTACCAGTACACAAACGGGGTGAGAAATCCTATGTCGAGAACTACCGTCCAATCCAACATGTTTTTCAACAAATCAACCCTTTCCAACACGGTTTTGTTCCACGAAAGTCATGCGTAACGCAACTGATCGAAGTATTCGAACAGATAGGTCGGAAATTAGACAACGGTAAGCAAATAGACGTGATTTACCTGGACATGTCGAAGGCATTCGATAAAGTAAGTCACACTCAGCTCATGCACCGATTACACGAGTTCGGGTTTCGAGGTAACCTTCTCAACTGGTTTTCATCCTACCTCAGCAATCGTTATCAGCAGACAACAATTGGTGGAGCAACATCAAGACCGTTAGCAGTGACATTCGGTGTACCGCAGGGCTCTATTCTCGGTCCTTTACTGCTTCTCTTGTACGAAAACCACCTCTCGGAAAGCGTGGGCAACTCCAGCATTGCAACCTTTGCGGACGATACAAAGATCTTTAAAACTGTAAATAACGTGTCCGACGCATCATCGCTACAAGAGGACCTAACAAATGTTGAAGAGAACTCCAGCAAGGTAAACCTGATATTAAACACTCAAAAATGTAAAGTCATGAGAATAACCAGAAAACACCACAAAATAGAATATCCCTACAAGCTACATGATGCTGTTCTGGAAAGCACTGTTCACGAACGTGAATTGGGAGTGTGGACTTCTTCCAATCTGACTTGGTCCAAACATATTGAGGACTCATGTGCTCAATCAACCAAAATGCTCGGTTACGTAAGGAGATCTACACTGGACATAAAAACTATCTCGGTTCGTCGTACTCTGTATTTGACTCTTGTACGCTGAAAACTATGCTATGCGTCTCAAGTCTGGGCTCCACAATCCGTGGAACTGATCAAACGCACGGAAAGAATCCAGAGGCGCGCGAGCAACTATATTTTGGATCTACCATTCACCTGCGATGTCAGCTATAGTAAGAGACTCGAACTGTTAGACCTCATTCCGCTCTGCTATTGGCACGAATTCCTCGATCTGGTGTTTTACTTTAAATGTGTAAATGGGATAATAAACATCAACGGCAACATTCCACCATCAATTCAGATCCGGCAGAGAGCAACGCGATCAGCTGACCCCGACTGTTTGAGGTTCACCACACCGAAGTGTAGGACTGCAACATTCCAGAGATCGTTTGTATCCAGGTGTGCGAGAGTATGGAATGTTCTACCAAAAGAGTTGACAACAAAGAACATAAGCTTAGGTCGTTTCAAAAGCGATCTCTATGAATATTACAAATCGGCTCTGAACATTTACGACGCAGAAAATCCTAGAACATAGAAGTCTGTATGTTTGTCTTGTAACAAGTCTCGTAATTTGTCTTGTTCAAATTCGTGTTGTTATTAATTCTAATGTGTGTCCCTGTGTTGGTCTTGTTAAGCTTCATTGTCAGCTAATTTCCACTCAGGAAAATTTTCCGCAGGAGCGAACGCCGTTGGAACTAACGACTTTAGCACTATGTAACTTTCCTTCCGTTATTATCCTGCGGAGGGTTTTCCTGGGTGCAAACTGGCCTTTTTATATTACTAAAGATCTAATGTAGAATGTGTCATGTTCGTTCTGTAAGGGCTGCTGTAATTGGCGTAAAGCTGTAGCAGATACCCTGCCATTGATTGATTGATTGATAGTTTGTATATTCTCAGTTGTGTTTGTATTTGTGCAGATATGATTGTGTGAAATTGGCAAAGCATAATAAATATATAGGGGCATCGAATCAACCTCGAGAAACCGCCAGGCTAGATCGTAGTATTGGCAGAAGGGGCACGCAATACCTGGCAACATCTGACGGCATAGTATTTGGAAGAACTATTGGAAGGCTCGTAGGACACGACATCAGAACCGGTAATTATAATTTTTTGCTTGGCAGGTCTGACAGCAATGTCATTGCAGGCCATAGAAGGTGTTCCTGTCAGACTATTAACATCGAGATCTTCCACAACAAGAACTTCCAGGGTGAAGGGCTTGCTTCACTGACGAGTGACGATAAAAAAGGGAGTACGCTCATCATGCAGCTTGTAATGCTAGCTGTGAACTCTTAGATAACTTGTTCTTGGCATTTGTTAGCGAGAGAGGCCTTTATCATAGCAACCACCCGTCTATCATAGGACTTCCCTACATTATCCCTAAGCAACACCCGTTCAATGGCTAATAAACTGGATGAGATCAGTGTAACTATTAGTAATAATAAATGTGATATCGCAATCATCACAGAATCATGGCTTTCATCAAACATTATGAATGATCTCATTAAGATCCCCGGGTTTTCAAGTATTCGCAAAGACCGATGTGACGACCAACGTGGTGGAGGACCTATATCAGAAATACATTAGACTTCCTGGAATGAAAAGATTTATCTCGCCCTGACATTGAATCGCAGTGGTTTTTTATAAAACCTAAAAGACTTCCAAGACGTATTGATGCAATTGTAATAGCCTCTGTCTACCACCCTCCACAAAATAACGACCTTACACTAAGGAACCGTCTATTTGAATCCCTGGACAACGCTCTCACCAATTTTCCTAACGCAGGCATCGTCTTGTTAGGGACCTTTATCAACCAGTTTAAAGGGAAATGGCAATATATTTTTTTATTTTCTCGTTTGAAAGAACATTTAAAACCATATATAAAACTCTTTTACCGTTTTTTCATATCTTGCTTACTTCTACAAATATTTTAATCGAAAGAAATTAAATGTCCGCCATCTTGGATTTTTGTAGATATGCATGTTACGTCACAACAGGGGTCACGCAATATTTTTATCTAGACAACCACTAATCATTTTCACTCAAAATTATACTCCGTATGCCCTTGGAAATATCAAGATCACTTGAAACCTTTAAAACATCTACCAATCAATATTTGGTCAACAACGAATACTTTTATATGGTTAATCCCTGTTGTGACGTCACCAAAACTACCGTTAATGAGATAAAAATGTATCCAAGATGGCTGACATCTCATTACTTCAAGTGAAAATATTTCAAGAACTAAGCAAGATATGAAGAATCGGTAAAAGAAGTTATTAAATAGTTTCAAAAGTTCTTTCAAATGCGAAAATAAAAAAATATATTGCCATTTCCCTTTAAATCTGGATCATTAACTTCATCCTTTAATCTTAAACAAGTTGTGAAAAGACCCACTCGTGGTAATAATATCCTTGATAAGATTTACACTACCCTATATATACTCCCATGTATATACAATCTGATCACCAAAGTGTTCTTCTCAACCCGACTAAACAAAGTCCGAAGTCACACAAGTCTCACACCTCTTCCTACATTACTACGAGAGACGTCGACTGTCGACTCGCAAACAAACAAGCCCTAATCACCACCCTATCCGAAATCAACTGGACCCCCACTTTACCACGTAACTGCTCTAGAAGATCAATTCAGCGTATTCTCGAATAAAATATCCTCTGTTATCGATAGTCACCTCCCTCTGCACACCATAAAGTGTTACCCTAAAGATAAACCATGGATCACTATAGATATAAAAAAATTCATTTCTAAAAAGCAGAAAGCTTGGTCAACCAGTAACACTATCATGTATAACTTTTATCGTAACAAAGTTAGAAAACTATGCAAATCTGCCCGTCAGTCCTATTACGATAAGAAAGTTCTTGACACCAGAGAATCTAACCCGAAAAAATGGTACGATAACATAAAGTCTATTTCTGGTTTATCCAAATCGGAAACTTTTTCGAGCATCTTCCATAATGGTGAGTTCAAAAGAGGTCCTGAGCTTGCTGAACTAATTGCTGAATCTTGCTGTGTTGTTTCAAACAGATTGGCCCCACTCTGCTTCAACAAGCTTCACATTACATCTGTTCCTGATGAGTACATAATATCAACCCAACAAGTCGAAACCGAATTGGAAAAGATCAGTCTTCAGAAAGCAGTGGCCCCGACGACATTCCTAACTGGGTACTGAAATCAGCTGCACCGCTGCTTGCTGGTTGCTGGTCCAATATGTTCCATCTTCAATGCCAGCATTGCACAAGGTTGCATCCCGACATGCACTCTGGAAATCAGCAGACGTTATCCCAGTCCCAAAAATATCTAATCCCAAATCAGTTGATAGCGACCTAAGACATAGTTCTCTCACACCGGTGCTGAGTAAATTATTGGAAAGCTTCGTTTTTCGGTGGCTTTTTAATCATATCAAACCATCAATTGACCCGCTATAGTTTGGAAATATAAAAAAATTGCTCCACCACACACGCTCTTATCCATATGATCCATAATTGGCTGGCCGAATTAGAAAACCCTGGTTCAACTATATCAGATGTTATATGATTGACTTTTCGAAAGCCTTCGACCATCCCTCCCATCTTGTTGAACTGGTGCGCTGAGTTCCTGCATGACCAATATTTACGTGTCAAACTTGGCCAGAATAAATATCATCATGGCGACAAATAAATGCAGGGGTTGCACAAGGTACAAAACTTGGACCCCTCTTCTTCCTTGTGATGATAAACGACTTGCAAATTAAAATTCCATTGTACAAATATGTCGATGACTGTTCCACTTATGAAATCGTTTCAAGATCCTCCCCAAATTCATCCCTTCAAGCTAATATAAACACTACAAAATGACTGGACCAATCACAACAACATGCGGCTTAATGCATCTAAAACCAAAGAAATGCGTGTATCCTTCCTTAAAGCTAGTCCCCATGGAATTCGATGCCCTCTCTTCATCTGGTTTAAACATAGAGATCGTACAAGACCTTCAAACTTCTGGGAGTGATAATATTATTGGACCTTACCTGGAATGCGCACGTTGATTATATCTGCACCAAAGCAAGGTCAAGGAAACGTCAATACGCTCTAAGGAGCACGCAAACGATCTGGTGCCCCAGCCAATGATTTAATAATGGTCTTTTGTGCATTTATTCGTCCAGTTTTGGAATACGCCTCACCTGTATGGCATTTTTCTCTCCCTCAATTCCTCGCTGACCAAATCGAGAGTATATACAAAAACGTGCATTGAAAATCGCTTTCCCCCAGTCCTCTTATGCAGCTTCACTAAGAAATGTTGGCCTTCTTACACTTAACCAGCGAAGAGAGAATCAGTGCTTGTCATTTTATAAGAACATCCATCAACACTCAGACGACAAGTTAAGAACGCTACTTCCCATGCAGTGCTATATCTCACAAATTCTGTCTAAGAAACAAACCCACTTATCCTATGTAGCCTACAAGTGCAAAACTGAACGATATAAGAACACTTTTATCCCAATGTGTGTTAGAAACTGGGACCGACAATAGGCATAACATAACATTTTATAGTACATATCATCAATATAGTGTATATTATAGTAGTTTTAAAATTTTCGCAATTTTTAAAAATTTCAATATTATGATAATCTCTGTAATATCACGTTTTTAATTTTTTATGAATTTACAATGTGGTAGGCCTAATTATTAAAAATCAATCAATCAATCAATATTTATCCTAGCGCCATTGTCCATAGCCAGAAATGAGCGACATAGTGATTACGCAACACTAAGTGATCACCCGTGCCTGATTCCCAATATTTATAGTAAATTGTTTTACTAATTCAACAATACAATACAATTCCTGAGATGCGAAGATCGAATTCGGTCAAACAAATGCTAGCGAACAAACTGAGCCTAAAATTGTGTTGTCTCGATGTCGACAAACCTTGTCCCTGAGAAATTCAAAATCACCAGCGAGACCGTAGTGAAGTTAACAAAAAGCATGAAAAATTGCAAAATACCCTGTGAAAATCCATCGCTGCGCGTTATAGACAATACAAATTTCTACATGCGAAGCTTGTTCCGGCAAGATGAGGTTCTTACGGCTTTGAATGATATAAAAACGAAGAAATATATTGTTCCCTTCCCTTGTCCCTGCCTTGTTGTTTTGAAGGTAGTTAAGAGCATCCAAGACTACCCTGGAGCAGAGTATATATATATATATATATATATATATATATATATATATATATATATATATATATATATATATATATATATATATATATATATATATATAATTAATTCTTGTTGTCCGTAATTGAACGAAGAGTGCTCAATACCAATATACGATAGAGCTTAAATAATTCTTTAATCTTAAAATATATTTGTCGCTACACTGTGTTTCACGCTTCTTTCAAAGCGATCTTCAGGCGAATAAAGTTGATTCAATGACGTGCTCTAAACTAACGGTTTGCTGAGGCATCTCGCGTGCGTTCAAATTTGCGCGCGCTAAAACTATTTCTGTGACAGCATTTCGCGAATATTTCTGAGCGTTTATTCAATATCC